AAGTTGAAAAGGAAATCCTACACCCGTATGATAGACGCTACAACCATCCGCAACCATTATTTCAGTATTCTTCGCATCTAAAAATATTTTCATTTGCAGATATCGCAAAAATAATAGTAGAAGAATGGAAAAGACGCAATAAGTCTGTTAATCTGTTTAAAAAAATACATATTGAAAGACTCGGAAGAATCATGACTGCCATTTTTCAATTAGTTTTGAGAACTAGTTGTTTAAGAGAAATTGAAATCTTCGATTATTATGGTGTTCTGAATGACAAACGATTTATTTACGATATTTCGAACGTCATTTTGTTTTCTTCTTATCAATACAGATTCGCAGAATTACGCAATTTGACGATACATATTAAGAAAAATTCATATCTCAAGGAGCTATTAAGAAATTTATCAAAATTATGTATCAATCTTCAAAGGATAGAATATAGGGTTAAACAAGATCTAGATTCTGAGACAGTGGACGCGTTGGCTGATATCATAACCGACAGTCTAATCTAAAGAATTTTTTGATGGACATTCATAGAACAGACTACCAAAGGAGATTTATAAGTCATTTAGATTTTCAGAAGGAATCTTTAACTTCGCTTTCTTTGCGCTTTGTCAATTTCTCAGCCATTAGTATGAATAGAATTGCGAAGTATACAAAGCTAGAATCCATGGAAATACATAGTTGCTATTGGGCTACGAAGGAAAACTGTGAGATGTTTATGCAGTCGTCAATTCAACTCAAGAGTTTAACTCTTGACACATATCACTTTGAAGATGATACGCTTTTAGCTACATTTATCGAAAAAGCAGGAAAAAATTTGTTAAACTTGCACATTGACAAGGTATCCGAAGAAGTAGTGACGCCATTGTCTCAATTCTGTCCAAACATATTCAAATTTTCGTTATTTTATAAGTTACAAGACTGCAGTATATTTATGGATTACTTAAAAGGATCCAAGATAAGCCAATTAATCATCAAATCTCACTGTAGATCAGACGAACTATTTATTGCTTTGGGAAAACATGTTCCTTCCAGTTTAGAAAAATTATATCTTCATTGTCATTTTAGACCGGAGGGGCTCGGAAAATTTCTACTCAACTATAGTAAATCATCACTTAATACGTTGGAGACTTTATATATTAAGTACATTGACGGTCATTTTCTTGATTACCTCAAAGTAATTGAGCACTATGCTGAGTATAATGCATTGAAAACCGTTATGATAGAAACTACAGTAGATATAGATGAGATGTCGGGTTTAATTCAGAACATCAGGAAAAAAGGAATTAATATTCTTTTCCAATAGATGTTCTAACGATATTGTTATATGTATTGGTAATTGCGTTGCGAAATAATAATTTTATTCTACGAAAAAGGAACGATTTATTTCTTTACCATTTTCTGGGTTTTAGCCTATTTTATATATAACCTTTGAATTTTACATACATATTCTTAATAATGTATATGGTTGATTTGATTAAAATTATATTCGGCTGGTTATTCCTTTTTTTTATTTTTCGAACAAAAAATAAATTTAGTCGATAAGTATAAGAAAACACATTAATGTTCGATGCAATATATATAACATAACTTAATATAAAAATTCAGGAGCTGGAGAAAAATATTTTTGCTAAACGGAATTCTTTTATTTGCCTCGCCATAATATTAAATTTTTGCGAATATTGCATTGTAACATCACAAAATAAAATTTCATAAACTAGCATTTAGGCTTTTATTATACTGAATACAGTAGTAATGAAAATAAAATCGTTCATATTTCGGTGAAGATCTTGATAATTACTTTTTTCTTTTCCAAAAAAGACAAATTCCCACAAAATATTTAAGGACGTCTTATTACAGGCAGAAAAGGAGAAACCTTTGCAAGCTTTGCTGAATAATAAGTTTACTAAACTCGTGGTATTATTTTCTATGGGAAAAGAACTAAAAATGTCAAAATAGTCAATAATGTGGCAAAGTTTTCTATCAAACCTCAACAATCATTTGACCTTTGAATATTAGAAAGGGTGTCATATGAAATCAATCACTTGGACATCCAAGTTCTTCTTTACTCATATATTTAGAGATGTTCCACGCAATTTTTAATAAAAATTTAATTACAGCTAGCCAAAAACTGAAAATGCATTATTTTAATGATTTTTGTATTACTCCAACCATTCTTTCATGGATCTCATTAAACTTTGATATATCTGCATCGGTTGCTGACGGTATTAGAAGATTCAATTAGTGGAAGCTTACTTCGAAAGACAAAAGACAGAATCCTAGAAATTTACGACATTTTAATGAATGGGTAAAGATCAAGAGAATTTAGACTTTTACAGCTACAACAGTAAATTGCTCTTTCGGTATTATACTGCACCACTTAGTCATATAATGTTGTGATCCTGAATCCCGATCCACGTACAGTAATTAGTTTTAGAACTTTCATACTTTAATAATCTTGTCGCATCGTCTTATTTCTTTAACATGTAACTGTACATCGGAAAATAAAAAAAATGGTTACATTCTATATATTCAGATTTCTCGTATATAATAGTGTTCACTTTGTGATTTTAAATGCATTTTTAGATAAAAATCAATAACCTATCGAATTAATCATATCTTATTTTAAAGATCTTTCAACATGTTTCTAAAATCTATGTTAAACTACCCCGTTTGTGTTTCTAAAACTATTTGCTGAATTTCATATAAATCGATGACAAAATTAGGGATGGTGATTGCACCAGGGACTGTTAATGGTGTAATCAACAATATTCGGGGTGCCTATTTTTGTAGCGGGTTTGTAACTATTGGGGGTTCCAAAAAACATCTGCAATTGGAATAGTCACTTGGTAAGCAGGGATTCCCGGACTGGCGCAAGTGTTAGGGATAGTGGTACCATACTGTAAAGTGCCAAAATCCCACTGTCACATTGCTAAAGTTACACTTCAAGCATCTGATACTTAATTATAAAAAAAATACTAACAATAGATAAATCACTTTACCGTTTTTAAAGATACCCCGGTAGACCTGGATTTATTACTGCTGTAAACCCTTCTGGGACTGTATTTTGACGCGACCATAATTTAGCCTAATTTTTTTTTAAAAAAATAATTCCTAGAGATGAAACTATAGAAAAACAACAATGGCTAGACGTACCAATATCAATCGATGAACGCGTCCTTGATGATTCTTAATAACATCAAGTTTGATTTCAAGTACGTATCGAACATGTTGTTCACACATCCACTTCACACATCTCGTATTCCAATAATCATGTTTTGAGTGTTGGTTATTTCAACAATGGTTCTCGCACAAGAAAAATCCTAAGAAATAATAATATTATTAATATTAGAAAGTGACACAAAAATAAATAACATGATAATATATACAACCTCAAAGTATATTTGCGTCCCCTGAGGGAGGACCAAAATGCTGAACATCAGGTCGTGCAATATGAGCAGAACTTTGATAAATCGCGACACCCAGTGTCATCTTTTCCCCATGACCGATTGGATTATAATGATCTATTTGAAGTGTTATTGCAAACTAAAGATCAATCAGGTCAAAGGAAATCTTACATGGCTGACCGGTAATCATTTTTGGACCACGTAATACACCATTGTTCGAAATATCAAAGTATTTCGCCAACAAAGCAGTAACTGCTTCATGCTCTGTGTTAGTCAGTTCAATAATATAAACATTTTTTTTTCCAATAAAATTTGTACCCGGTTGATTCGTTGCGGTCAAGAAGAGTATTATATTCTTTCACCGAAACGTTTCTTCCAATCTGAAATGTCAAATTGCAGACCACGCGAGTCAAAAATCAAGCAAGTCTTAAAGAAACTATGAAGACACGCTCCCCTTTCTTCTCTTAAGGAAAATTTTTGCAGTTTGGGATAGTTATGGACCATATTGTATTTCGAATTTCATATACTTTCTTTGCTGCTGATTTCCAACAAGAGTTTAAGGTGGACATTTTGAGTTTGTAGTGAAATAATTGATTATTACAGATTCATTACTTTTCTTCGCATGTAATTTAGGTCATGTGTTTTCTAGCCAATCACTGATCGGTTAATTTATATGATGATATGATTCTTCAAAGGTAGCATTATTGCATAGCTTTTACTGGAAGACTAAATTTTTAGGTTTGTGGTATACCTCTCTTACTAAATAGATCTTGTATGCCAAAAAAAAAAAAGATGGACTTTATTTACAAATATATATTTTTATGCCATATAATTATTATAAGTAATGTAATGATAAATATGCAGTAAATTCTTAGAATCAATTGTAAATCACAATTATCATCACAATCCAATATACGTTTTTCCATTATTGGTATTAGCATACATATCGCTGATATATTACTTTTAAAAGATTTATTTAATAATTCTATTTGTTCTAAATATAAATATGATTTTAATTATGTATATAATAATAAATTATATGTATTTGATAATTTTAAATTCAATATAATTTACATATAACTTTCATAAATATTATAAATGGATTATATAAAATAATTAATTTAAGTGAATTATATGAAATCAATTGTATTAATAATAAAAAAATAAATATTGTTAAATATAACAAATTTTATAAAAATAAAACTTTCAGTAAATAGATAAAATAAATTTAAAAATGTTTTACATATTTTAAAGATTTTAAAGATAATAATATTTTATTTATTCCAAATCAAAATATCTTGAAGATATAAAATTATAATTATTTTCTAATATTAATCTATATACTATTGATATAATTTCATATACTATGTAATTGAAAACCTCTAAAACACTTTAAAATATAAAAACGCCTATAACAATTATTTTTTTATAAATTTTTTTTGAAGTTCTTGCCATTTTTCTTCTTTCTAATATACAAATATTTTTAAATAATTATATTTTCTGTTTGAAAAACTCAATTTTAATTTAAAAAATCAAACATCACATTAAAATTATTTATATTGTTAACTTAGAGGACTTACAATATATTTAATATTTATCTTTTATTATCATTCAGCGAATTCTGCTGCATTATTAAATATCAAAAATCTTTATTCAAAAAATTTCTTGTCCAAAATCATAATTATTTTACTCATATCAATTAATTGATATTTCAAATCCAATCAATTAAATTTTAAAACAATTTCATACAATTAAAATACTATATAATAATCAATATAAACAAATATTATTTTAATAGTAACAATTAAAACAGGGCTATACTAAAATTAGTAAATCAATTAATATAATAATATTATTATTAATAATTATAACAAAATATAATTCAAATAAGATGTTAACAATATTATTATTTATTTTGAACAATAGTCTGGCTATTTTTGAAAGTAGCATTTTACTTTAGTTAAATGAATCAATCATGTGACACATTTAATTTAAGATATTCTTTATATTATAATAGACTTTTTTATACTTTTTTTTATTATCACCAAATATCCTAACACAAACAACAATATCATTACAACTATTAACAACAATTCAAGAAACAATAATTTAAAAAACATATCATCAATGGGTATAAATAAAGACTTTGTCCCATAAAACACAGATGACAAAACAATAACAAAAGATATAAAACACAGATGACAAAAGAAGATAAAGATACTAACCTAAATTGTATATCTATATAATAGAAAGAATAAGCAAATTATGAAATAGAAAAGATAACAGAAAGGAAATAATAAAAAACCCAGGAACAGTGATAAAGAAAGAAAAATCAGAAAATAACGAAACAATGAGTAACCCCCAACTATAACCAAAAATATGAATGTTATAAAAAATTGAAAAAATCACTTAAATATTTAATGGAAAAAGAAAAAACAAAATAAACGATAAGTAAATGTATCTTTCTTAGAAAAGGATTAGGTACAATACTAACGAAAGGATAAAATAATAAAAACGAGAAGATTTGTAGCTTTATTTTTGAATGAAACGATATAAGAACAAATATAACACATGATAAATAGTTTATTTAACTTATGATGTAATAAACATTTAAGAATAATTCAATAAAAAGTTTCGAAAATAAAATGATATCATTATAACAATCAATTATAAAAATCACATGATAAAGAAAGTGAGATAAAAAAAAGAAATAAAGTTATTCTTTAGAATCAGATTGACCTTTAAGGATATTAACTTCCTATTTAAGAAAATGAATTTCTTCATTCAAATGAACATTTTTCTTGCAAATAAAATCATAAGAATGACATAATTCTCTAATTAATTTAATAGTAGAATGATTCTCAAAAGAACTGGAAAGAGTTTCGAGAATTTCTTTACA